GCTGTTTAATACATTTAATTCATTCAAATTAGAGCACCTTTAGGAGAAGTGAAAGCCATTATAAATCCAGCTCTTAAACTACAAAGAATATACTCAGATGGGTGGATTCAGAAGAGTTGATGAAGCATAAATCATTCCTCAGACTTTCTGCATCGAGAAAGATGTTCTGAAGGAAACTGGTTAGAGGATAGATGGGTAGAAGCACTTCCTACTTACCCAGGATATTTTACTTTCCTTTGACAAAGAAAAGAGGGACAAGCTAAGGCTACAGACTACTTTGGTATAGCAATACCTTTGTTTATCCTATTAGCTCTGTTTCTAAAGTTATCAATTACTGAGAAATCATTTCCATAATGTCTAAAAATAAGCAAGTCTGCCAATGACTTAGCACTTCAAAGCTCAACAAGGTTCTAAGCAATTTTCTCACATCTCAATTGAGCCAACCTCTATAGAGAGGAGAAAGCATACCTCTTGAGCAGCTTCTACTGTCTGCCAGTGGAATTACTTTTTTAAGAGACAGCTACTCTGCACGAACAGAGACAGATGAAACTTTTGTTGTATAAAGTGAAAAATTTTTTTTAATTCACAAAATTATAATCTGGGACTCCCAAGAAAGTAAGGAAAGGCTGGTTAGCATATAATGGAAAACAAATTGCCTTCCAAAGTACTCTGGAAATAATATTCTGAGTCCCTCTGGTTTGTCACATGCATGCAAGGGAAAGTACCCACAGCTAAACAGTTACTCGAATTATTGTATTTGACCAAATCTAAAGTGAAGCAATTTCAGATTACATTCAGTTTCCATAAAAGAGAAAAAAAGGATAAACTAATACCAGTTGCCACCAACTCAGAGCTACACCACAGCCTTCCTCATGAATACTCAAGCCCACTTTCTTCAAACTGTCTCTTGCAAAGTCTGTCTCTTGCAATCTCTATAGTCCCTCTTGTAGCAACCTCGTGTATTTCTCACAGAAGTACAATTCTGGTACCATAGCCAGGTGGTACAGGGCCCCCCTAAGGTGTGTGGCCACATCAAAGCATTGAGCACGTACAGTTCTCAGGGACAGGAGACTGCGTGGCAGACTCAGTCCACATCCCCCTTCCCTGCAGATCTCAGATCTGCTGCCTGCTCCCAGATGCTTAGCAGGGACCTCTACTGGGTCCACAGAGAGGTGTCTTTCAGGGGTTGCACTGAAAATGCATACCTGGGAAGAGGAGAAATTTGAAAATTTTCCACTTTAAAGTTCTTGAGACACTTTCCTGATATGTGGGTGCACGTTCTACTGATATATCAGACACCAGAAATAATGCTGCTTGTTATAGCTAAAGCTCCATGCCGTATTTACAGCAGTTACAGCATAGATAATGTCTGGGAAGACTCAGACCACAAGCAGAGTCGATTTCTGAATGGAAATACATGCAGAGGAATTATTGCGGCAAAGCAGTCCAAACACTTATTTAATACAGTGAAAATGTGCATTCTGGTGGGAAAGGACCAGGGAGGGAGGGGGGGAGAGGGAGGGAGAGAGAGAGAGAGAGAGAGAGAGAGAGAGGGGTGGCAGGAGGAGAGAGAAAAATACCACAGTAAAAAACACTAGTACTTTTTCAATCCTGGAGAATACAACCACCCATGAGAGTGTACTAAATGCAAACAAGCTTCAGTAAACAATAAAGAGTGTATAAAAATGCAGTTTAATCTAAATTTTCCTGGAGCTAAACACTCCATCTCACTTCATACCACAAAGGGGAAAAGGGAAAAAAATATTTTAAGAAGTCATTAAAGCAACAACCTTCTTAAAGAGAAGAAATCCGTAAAGAAGCAGCAAAACAAGCGGCCCAGCCTATTCTATCAGAGCTGGGCTTTTTTCCTGTTACATGACAAACAACTGGCAACCCAGCTGGCAATTATTTAACCACAGTGAGAACTTTTGACTCCTTTTATGAGGAGAAAGATAAAACTGCCATAAATTTAACACTGCACAACAATCTACAACAGCTGTCTACAAGATCTACTTTACGTCCTTTTTTTATCTCTATCTTTAATAGCATTTTCACCAACATTATAGAGAAAACGTTATTTCCTTTACACAGGTCAAAAATTTTTTTTGCTGCTAATACAACAAATCTCACAAGTAACTTTTAAAAGATTTAGGTAAATAGTGGATAATATGGATATATATAACTGATTAGGTGACACTTTTTCATCATAATTTATGAGGCTAATAAAATTTGTCTGCCCAGTATATCGTTTTTGGAATTGCCAGTTCTGCCAGTCATTACTGGCCAAAAATTGAAAATAAATACGATTTAAAAATCATTCTCTCATTCCAGGTGAAAAGTGCCAACAAGTGGCATATCAACTGCAGTTTTGACCACCACGTTACCCAAGATTTGGATAGTATCGAATGGGGGGCAGGGTGTTACGCTTCATTTGAACAAAAAGATTTTTGCACCAGAGTTTTTAATCTGTGTACTACTATGCACTTAACATACCAACTAGTCTGTGAACAATTTTTACCACACGCATTTCTCTAATCTGATCTTTCCATCTGCCCTCTACACAATTTGACAGCGTTAGCAAGTGAGACACTATAATCACAATCTTTCTGTTTACAGACCACAGAGATTTTCCAGGGTCATTAAAACGCCATTCTTTATGGAACCAGAAAATTGCCAGCAAGGCTGTCTTTGAATACACAGACTATTACAAAACCTCGCAGTTCAAGCACGCTTGGGGAAGAATTCACGTGTACGTTTTGCGTAGACGAGGAAACCAGGGCATGCCGTCTCATCTACATACACTGGAAGCACTTTTACAGAAGGTCATTAAGTGTTAGTTAAACTAGATAACATCCAGATGGAATAATAATTTTTGCTTTATTTAAAAGGATACATCTGTAAAGGCCAATAATAATAATAACCCCTAAAATAAAAAGTAAGCTGCGAAGATATTTTTGAAACTTGCTAAAACTTAAACCTTGAACCAGCACCGTTTAAAATGGATTTCCTTTAAACTTATGAAGGGAGATCCAATTTGACGTGTCCCCTACAATCCTGAGCATGAGGGAATCAGTTCATTTCTAACTGTATATCCAAATACGACTTGTGACATCCTGCTCTAGAGAGGCAAGGAGGCAGTTCTAGAGCTCTCCTGCCTCACTGTAAATCCTGACCAGAGCACGGTTTCCTTAGACTCATGGAACCTGACTTTCTACAAAACTGACCATTCTGCCTTCCTTGTTTATTAGTATGATTAGGATTTCATCTGAGGTTGAAGTACTTGTCTTGTTTCTCAGCGCTATTTTCCTCCACATCCATTAGCACCATCAAGGACGGACAACCAGGGCCTGAGTGGTCTCAGTGTGAAATGGTAAAGTTCTTCAACCAGAGACTACTACATGTGTAAAGACCCTCAAAACAGATACTCAATAAACTTCCAACCTGCCTAAAATGGGTATGTCTCGAGAAACAGATATTTTGTTGTAATAACCATAGTATGCGCTGCCAATCTGGTATTAGTCTGCTTCCCCACCCTCTGGAACAAAACTAGGGAAAACAGCATCCAAACTTCAACACCGAAAAGCTTACATTCAGCTGTGACCATCACGTTTACTTTTCATGAAATTTGAAAGGACCTCAGCATACCAATTTTAGAGAACATATCTCCATTTCAGAATGCCTTGAACGAGATACGTCAAAACTAATGTTAACTGCTTTTTCATAGAAGATCTTAAGATGATGAAATCTGTTTAGTATAATCATAAAGCATTTCTAATATATGTCCTTATACTCAGAAATCAAACCAAGTCTATACCTGTAGGAGAATACAGTATAAAATCCATTCACTCACAATTTCTCCTTCAATAATGAAGGCTGGAACACACTCTTACATCGTAAGACTTATAACCTTAAGTCATTTTTGGGAATAACCATGCTCCCACTATCTTTATATCAGGATCGGTTAAGGTGCCTCAAGTTGTATTTCTGAACAAAGTGGCATCCAAAGATGATCATTCAGTGATTTGATTCAGATATTGGTCTACATATAAGTCGTCTTCTCTTTACTGAGATTTTTCTTTAAACAAAATTCACAAATTCAACTTGACCGTTTTAAAAACATTAGCCCTCACTAAAAAAATGATAAAAATGCAGTGTCCTAAGAGTATCATGAACCTATTACCTAAACGTACTTAATGAGCAGATCAGCCTTCTTTTACCTGCTATAATGTCCATTAGTCTAAACATCCCTCAGGATTTTCTTTTTTTCTGTAGTGTTAACCCCTTTAAACCAGATTCATTTTTAGAAAGTTTATGTGACAGTAAGGAAAGATCACATAAATTCAGCTCTAGCTGAAAGAAGACTGGGAGATTCTTTAATTTTAATCTCATTTTCAGAGATTGCTTTTTCATGCTCACCTTCAAGCTATCTTTCAGAACATTTTCATTAAAAAGAAACAGTCTCACTGGATTACCCAGAATGCATAATAAACCAACCTGCAATTATACCAAGCTCACAAGTTTTCTGAAAAGCGTTTACTGGTATCTGCCAGTAATTCATAAAAGCTAGTTAGTATCTTCCTCAAAAGTATCAAAGATACTTATTTAGAAGAATGCTGGATTTCTTTAAAGTATGCCTGTTGAATAACACAAAAAAACATTTGCCTCTGTAGCTAGCTAGAGAGAACAGGTATATGAAAAAGAGGCTACTGACTACTAGTTACTGAATTCAAAGGATGAAAACCTCAAATGGAGGCTCACAGACCATGCTAAATGATGGACAAAGAAATCATGCCTTTTGCAAAAAACTGTTCACAGCTAACATGCCCAACAAACAAGCATTCTTAGAGATCATTGTGTGCATTAAGGAAGATGAAAAGTGTTTCTCTGCTCAAGCTGCTCCCTCAGGCAGGCTAGAGAGTTGCTATTTTAAAAGGACAAAGAAAAAGAATTTGTAACAGAAGTTAATCAACCAGTCAAAGACTCCACAAGAACTCTGTAGCTAATGAAAGGTGTTTCCTTCTTTATTATTGTGTAATACCTTATCACAGAAACATGATATTTACAAATATACACATATAGACTGATCATAAAATGTTACTGAAGAATTAGTCAAAAAAAAAATCAATTTACAAAAACCAAAAACTTTCCAAAGAGATTCTGGCTGAAAAAATTCAATGAAATTCCAAGGAGACAGCTCTGTACAGAAAGATAGGTTTTAGCTCCTTAAGTTCTGATCATATTAGATAAGGGAGTTGTGAACCAAGTGAGCTAAGCTCAGCTGTACATTTGAGATGAGGCAGTTTTTTTATATATATATTTTTTTCCCCCAAATAATTTCTTGATGGTCAGTTCACCAGGTCTCAGGAGGCACTAGTTTGTATGTTTTTGGAAGCTGCAAGCATTGCTCTCACTTTGGCCATAAGATCCTGTAGAAAATAAGAGGAAAAATGTCAGACTTCCTTGGGCTTCAAACAGCTGAAGCGTGTGATAGCAAAAACCTGCATAAAACAACTACCTCATGTTCCAGTCACATAGAATACTCAGTCTCATCATTCTCAAATTTTGGCAGCCCCTAATCTAAAAGGCTGAAGTAATTTGGAGGAAGTTCCTATAACTGAAACTAAAATCTGCCTTCACTACACTGCTACAAAGTGTTCTACTTACGTATTTACAGCAATTTCTATGTGTTTTTCTACACAATAAAAAGCATAAATCATCTTAACTGAAACTGAACAAAACTACGGCTTGTCTTCATGACACCCAAAACTATTAAGAACTGAGAAGGTATAAGTGAGTGAGTGAGTGAGTGAGAGAGAGAGAGAGAGAGAGAAAGAGAACACGAACTGGTAACAAGAAAGCAGTAACAATTCTATAAAGGACAGATTTACAAATCTTGTGGTCAAACATTAAATTTCAAAGGTGATTTTAAAGCTGAATCAAAAATTTACAGTGTAGTGGAATTTCCATATATGCCAGAGAGACTGAAACACAAGACTGCTGTAAAATGAAACAGCAGCTCTTGATCATGTCTGAGCATCTAGCGGGAAGAGCATTACAAGAGGAAACGAAATTTCATGTAAATGGCATCTGATAATTAGGCTGCAAAATAAAAAGATCACATAATAAAAAGCGTACACCATTAATGAATTACAAATTACTTAAAACAAATTAAATAGAGATGAATTAAAAGACCTGGTTCTCATAAAGCATTTTTCATCTGAAGTTCTCAAAACACTTCATAAGGGAATTCAGCATCATTATTCCCACTTTATAGATGGGAGGATTCGAATGAGAAAAAGATACGAAAGTTCGCCAAGGTCAACCAGCATATGGACAGCAAAACAATCTTGCGAATAATTAGGTAAATTAGATTTCTTTGCTCCTTCAAAGATAACCAGATGTTAAATTAATCTACACTGAGACACATCTTGCAGATTCCCAAAAGCCTCATTGCTCTTGTTCTACTTTTCGGAAATAGTAACTAAGAACTATGTTTTAATGCGTTTTGGAAGCTGTCCTTCAGGGGCATTTTGAACTGCATTGCAATTCAGTGGCCAGGACTAGTAATTTTTCCTTCTCTACCTGTATTTTGAACAAGTAGACCAATATTAGCTAGCATATGCTATGCCATAAAGAATGTTCAATCCAAGAAACGCATGCAATAACCTTCGTCTGAAAGGTACGTATTTTTAAATGATGGGACATTACTTTACCTCAAAGACTCTGACGTAGTTCATATCTCATTTCTCATACTAGAGGTTTCCTTGCGTTTATTTGGTAGCTTAAGAAATGCTATGGCATTAGAGCTCTGTTTTTTTCTCTCCAGTACTTATGGCTTTTATTGTCCATTTTACTACATATTCCTGTTCTTGGTCTCTCTTCCAAAATGAATTAAAGATAGTGTGTAAGGTACTAGTCTAATAGTATTAATTCCCAACTACCACTGTTTCCCAAGAGAAACTACACCTTGGAATATTATTAACTCACTGAAAGAACCATCAGCTTCTATCCATTGAAAAATATAATATGGAGAGCAATTTTGATTTTGTTTTGTAAATCTTCCAAAGCGTAATTAAGAAACAGCGTTCCTCCTTTAAAACTGATATATAAAATTAAAGGCAAGTTAAAGATACACGGAGAAACTATGAAAACAGTGACACCGGGTAGTCGCTTTTTAAAAATAAATGAAACAATTTTGACAAAGGTTGAATATCTTAACATTAACACTGTGTTAGGGAAACTGAACGCACATAGTTCACTGCACACCATACTGAGGCATATACTTGATACTTGTTCACAGATAATCATGTGGTGATTCACAGCAAACAATATATCAACAAAATCAAAACAACAAAAGTTCACAGATGTAAACAGCAACAAGAGTAAGATAACTGACTTGAAGATACTGCTCGAGGCAAAGCATACTTGCTTTAGTTTACAAGACAACATATTTTTCCCTTTGCCAGCCCTACAAACTTAACCGCTGCCAAGGTGCTTCTCCTTTGTTCTTCCTTCCATGAAAGGAGTTAGAAATACCAGCTGGTAAGACGGGCTCTCAATAATACCTGCTGTTGGTAACTGATGGATTGTTCCAGCATAAGGTGGACTTCATATCTTAACTATGCATTAAACTGAGCTTGACCTTTAGAGGTTTGATGACACTTGAAAAGACAGCAGCTAGAGAAGCAACAAAATTGTTTTTTTTGATAAGCAAATAGATTATGAATGACAATGAGCATGTCTCTACATTGCATGCAAAGCTCGGAACTGTACAAGATATTAAATGGAGAATATGACATGATGGAAATACGTAATTAGGCAAGATGCTCTGAATAGATTTGTACCTGAGTGATTTTACTCTGCACTGAAGATACAATTGCTGAAGAGATCTGGCCATCTTTTTCCTGAGAAACTCCCCTAAAAAAAGAAAATCAGAATTAGAAATTTATAGTACATGCTTTCAAGATTCATTTCACTGACCATCGTAACTCTGGGCTTTATTGTACAAGTCTCATTATTAGACAATAGTTTCTTCATTCAACTGGAAGCCATGGTGAGTCACAGTCGGAAGAGTCGCTCATGCAACTGATTACTTATAGAGAAAATTGAATAGCAGGCTAGGGATTTTCAACAGGGCTGTTCTATATTTAGCAGAAATAATTTAATTATGAATCCCTCAAACCCACTACAATTTCAACCAATCCCTTAAAGTTCCACTTCAAAGAATTACCACATTTAGGGACAGTTACCAATTTCTAACTTAGAGTTCAGCAGTAGAATTTGCAGCACAAGTTTTACTTTAAGACTATGTCAAAATATTTACTCGAAGGAGGACCAAAATCTCCTGTTTTCCACATTAAATCATCACATTTTACCTCAAAGGTAACAGAAACGTCTCCGACAAAATTTTTACTTTTTCTTTCCTGTTCAAAATAGTAAGTATAGCATTGGTAATGTTAGAAGTCTTCAAATTTTTGAAATCTGATCGTGAAGTTTCACTGGGTGGTATAAAAACTCCAGCAGATACGTCGTCGTCACTAGACTCTAATGCACACAGTGCTGTCCTCCTAGTGTCTTCTACTTTCAACCCCCTCCATATATATGTAGATATCTATATATAAATATATATAGATAATCTCCTCACCATATAAGTTCGGTCAAAAGAAATACTCATGGTCAAGTGATGTCAGCACTGCCATATTGCAGTAAGAAAATGTATTACCTGGAGCGTTCCTGGCTGGATTCCCTACTCTCCACAGGAGAGACACTAGTTGAATGTACAGAATTTTTGTGTGTGGATGGTTTGCCTGGTGACGCAGATGGTGAAGGAGACCTAGCTTTGGATTTGGTACGTGATCTAGACCGCCTCTTCTTTTTCTTTTCATGGGGACTTCTGTGAGAAGGAAATAATTTATTGAAGGAGATTTAAAGCAGTTTTAAACTAGCTGTGCGGAAGCTACTTTTGACACTTCTAAATGTAGCCCTCTTCCACACGATACTTCTCACACACTGAGCAAGCATTAGAATCTTACTACAAACTGCACTTCCACGGTCAAGCAAAATAGTCTCTCAGCAGCCCCTTCTTAAATCACATTAGATTTGGCAATACTAGTACTCGAGCTTCTCACCTGAAATATTGCTTTATAGATAACACACAAATTACTATGCAGTATTTGACGGTTTAAGGGAAGACAGAGAAAAGTCATTGGAGACTTGCAGAATAACTTTGCAAGAGGAAAGTTCCTCCTGAACAATATCAGAGAGTTAGCTTATTATGAAATGCATAGTTTACACTTACATTATATACACGAAAATGTAATAGTTTATATATGCTTTATAATATTCATAGACCATAAGTGAACAAACCATGGAACATACGTGCAAAATTAAACTATAAGAGAATTTGACTAGAAATACACCAACGATTGAACTATTAGCATCTTTATATCTAGCTATGAATTGATGTTCTTATGATTTACATACCAGTATTGACTTTACTGTAATTAGAATCACCTAACTTTTAGGCCAAATATCTCATTGTGGGAAAATCTCTCTAGCATGCAGTCTAGTGCACCTTCCATTTTTAAAGCTCAAAGGAAAACAAGCTCAGTTCACCAAAAAACTGATCAAGTTTTGCTAGAGCTCTACTCAGAAGAGTAGGTTGTTGAGACTTCTAGAACATCTTAAAACACCATAAAACTTCAAGTCATATTTTAAGTATCACGTTATTAGCTCCTTTATTTTGATTTTCATGGGAAATGTGCTACTTTAAAAAGCAGTTATGTTACAACATAGTGAATTTGCATATAAACAGCGTACACCTCTGATGCTTAGAATTTATCATATGAAAAATTTGAATATGTAAAAGTTGAATATTCAAGAAGTAAAACTGCAAAAATCACAAAATGGATGAGGGTGGAAGGGACCTCTGGAGAACATCTAGTCCAACCCCTCAGCTCAAGTACGGTCATCTAGAGTACATTGCACAGGATCGCGTCCAGGCAGGTTTTGAATACCTCCAGCAAAGGAGACTCCACCACCTCTCTGGGCAGCCTGTTCCAGTGTTCACCACCCTCACAGTAAAGAAGTGTTTTCTTGTGTTCAAGTGGAATTTGCTGTGTTCCTGTTCGTGCTTGTTGCCTCTTGTTCTGTCACTGGGTACTACTGAGAAGATTCTAGCCCTGTCTTCTTTATCCCATCGTATATTTACAAACACTGATAAAAACACATCCGAGCCTTCTCTTCTCCAGGCTAAACAGTCCCAGCTCTCAGCCTCTGCTGTCCCTTAATCAAGGGACGTCCCAGTCCCTTAATCATCTTTGTGGCCCTTTGCCGGGCTCACTCCAGTAAATTCATGTCTGTCCTGTACTGGGAAGCCCAGAATTGGACACAGCGCTCCAGTGTGGCTGCACCAGTGCTGAGTTGAGGGGAAGGATCACATCCCTCGACCTGCTAGCAATGTGCTTCCTAATGCAGCCCACGATACCAATGGCCGCCTTTGTCACAAAGGCAAAGCGGCTCCCCCTCACTTGATTCACATTAGACTCCCTTTTAAAGTGACTACAACGGCAACTGAAGGACAGGAGAAGCAAATGGAAAAAAAAAAAAAAAAAAGAGTTGTTATATTTATTCTGAAGAACACCTTATTCTGCAAGCAGCATGCCAGTAATTCACAGATATGACAAAGTAAAAGGTGGCTTCCAAGTTCCTACATTTTTTTTTCTTCTGGAAGTATACCTAAAAGTTTTCAAGCAGTTCTAGCTATTTGGCATTACCACTGACAACTTGCTTGGGACATTAATCTGATTAAAACACTGCACTAAATTAATTTTAGGGTCCTTTCCAGTCCTCTGACAGTACTGGATTTTCAAGGTTTCCTATTTCTTAGCATAACCACAGTTAATAAACACTCAGCTGACTGCTGCCACACAAAATTCAAATCTGCTCTCAGGCAAAATATACACTACTCGCTCACAGAAAGCCTGAGTAAACTAGATTATAGACAGAGTTCGAACCCAAAGCTTGCTTCCACTACAGCATTGTGGAAAATGGACTCCACAACTGAAGATCATGAAAACGGTCCATGACAGCATCTAGATCTTTACTTGAAAGATCAGTCAGTCAGTCCTAAGAGGACTAAAACAGTAGGTTTTCTACCATCAGAGCTGCAATATATCCCCACCCATGTTCAACTCTAGGACTATTTCTTCAGTCTACATTTTCTGCATTTACTGCCATATTTTATCGTGCACTCTTCTGCTTTCTGTTAGAGGCTTAGCAGAATTTTCCAATTTCTATTTATATAAACAACATCGTTTAAAGAAGAACCTAGACTGTATCACAATAATCCATTAAAAGTCATTTATAACTTAAATTGCTGAACAGTCAAGTAGCAGACATACCAATACTCCTCACTGGAAAAACAACACAGGGCTATAAGTAAATTCTTGTCCTCATAGGAGAAAAAGCATTTTAAGCTTCTGAATATTGAATCTTTTCTCCTTAACCAAACTTGCAAGGTGAACTCTACAGAAGCCTTTACTATCTCGAGCTGGTGAACACAAAAAATCCCCAAAGTTCAAGTATGCGGATGAAGCTCTCAATTATACACAATACATCAACTAGTTAGAGGTTGACAGAGATTGCAAGTTATCTTTAAAAAAAAAAAAAAAAGAGTATTTTTAAAATCATACAGGTGGAAATGAGCTCTTTGCTTCTTACTCCACATGACATATGAAGAAGCATGTTAAAGACTAAATCTTCACAGATGAGAAAAAAATTTCTGTATGCTTAGTTTAAAAACCTCAATGTTTTCAGTTACATACACACAGTATATGCACATGTATGTGCGTGAACAATTTTCACTTCCTTTCACGTGGAAATTAGAGGTGCAAATTATAAAGCTTTTGGGCACACACTTTGCAAATGTTTTACTCCTGCAATTGGTGAGCTGAAATAACGCTTGTTACACCATTTTGATGGTAATAGACTCAGAAAGACTATATGCAAATTGTGCACTCAAAAAAGGCACCTCTTGTTTCATACTTTGCGTTCCACTCATACAGTAAAACGATTGCTGAATGTAAAGCATACCGATTGCTAAACTAGAGCTTCCCCTTTTTGTGAAGATATGATGCATTCTCAAACAACTTTCAAACGCCAATAAGAATAACCTAGTACCACTATATGGCCTCTGCATAGCAGCCATATAGCTTGCACAATCAAAGCTAGACAAAATGACCCAACAAGAAGGAATCTTTGAAGCTCAGATAAAATATGAGCTCTCAGAGCTAGGAAATAGCAGTATATGTAAGGTACACGGATCTGGTTGTACACTTACTGTTCAAGCATATTCAAAAATGTGAGGAGAAGAATTAGTGCTTCTATTGTTTTTTCCAAAGGTGTTAAAAAAAGTATCACTTATGATTTATAAAGCTTCAGATCAAAAACTGAAGATTTACCTAGGCAGTATATAAAATACCAAGACAACGTTTCAAGTCCCTCCCCAGGCTGGCACATAACATTCTCCAGGACTGGGTATGCTTACCTGGAACGTGTGCGTTTCCTACTATTTCCAGGACTATTACTAATGCGATAAGCTGTTGGAACACTCCTTTCCTCTCTCCGCCTTTCTGGCGTGTGAGCCCTCCTCCTAGGTGACCTTGATCGTGACCTAAGCAGGAAAAAACAGCCAAAAGTTTGTTTTTTGTTACTTATGCTATTTATCTCACTACTTTCATTTCAGTGGAACTGTGCTGTCACCAAACCCACATATAACACCATTCAAATGCCTATTTTATATCAGCATGGAGTGCTTAGTCTCCAAGACTTGTCAGCTGCATGAGAATTTCTAACCCATCTGATACATTTGGGACATAGTTACCCACTGCTTTTCACTTCCAACAGGGGAAGAAGCAGCTCTCTTTGGTACTGTGTGCTAATGTCAACTTCCACATCAGTAGGCAACAAGGTTTTACTTTAGTGCAGACAGTCACCTTTTGTGGCAACAGCATTTGCTAGTGTTGGCATGCACAAGCCCAATTTGGTTTGAAGCCTAGAATTGTCAGGCCTGACCTTGTCGTCCCAAATTAGCAGTACGTTTTCAGAATTGCTGCATCAGAGAGATAAAGAGAAATTTTTGTTTTCAGTGCCTCTCTAACACTGACAAGTCCAGGAAATTTTGTCCCTGATGTTGCAGAATAATCCTAGCACAGCCAGTATTTTCACCTGTGCAAGTGACTAACAACCCATGACCAGCATTGTTTGGCACTACCACTTTGACCTGAAATATTTTTCCTACAGAGACAGAAAGAGAAAGAAAAAGTGAGAGAGAGAGAGAGAAAGAGAGAGAAAAAGAAAGAGAGAAAACATGCCCAGTTAAGATCAGACATCGGTTTAACAGCTTACGCTTTTTCCTCTGTGATTTGGAACTAAGTAAAACCCGAGCATTTTTTAGTAACCAAATCAATGCAATGGGAAAAATCCTGAAGGACGGAGGGGAGTGGGGGAAGATGGAGAAGGGGGCAAGACAGGGACCCTGCTTGAAAAAAATGAAAGAAAAAAACCAAATCCCCAGTCCTCCCCAAATACTTGGTAGTAATAGTTAGCTTTGGTTCTACTGAACTATATAGTTCTAATCATTTTAGTTCATAATATTTATTTCAAAGCCTTTCCGATTTATGTGTTACAGGTACTTCACTCCATGTACACCAAGCATTCATTTCCTTGAAAACACCTAATTTATGTTGACTAAAAGACAAGCGTTTATGAATCACTGCAGACTCACGCTATATATAATATGTTTGTATTTACACATGCATACACACACACACCTGAGCCATTTCTCTTATACCTATAATAAAACACACCTACTAGGAAAAAAAAAAATCACAATGGCAGTTAAGTATTGTAAGTTAACTCCTTTTTCACTTAGAAATCTGATCTTTACCAGGCCTTTCAGAAGGATTAAAAAGGAAAAAAAAAAAAAACCCAAAAATAAAACAGATCATAAAGTTGGGGGTCAGTCAGACACCTTGACATTTTACCAGGATTTCCCTCAAAAGAGCTCCAGCAGTCAAATCTTTTCGTTGTCGAAGCTGACTGATAATTTTCTCGCTCTGTTGCTGCTGCCATTGATGAGCTGCTCAGACTCGGTTCCATGCTCAGTGTCCCTGTGGATGCTGTGAGTCTGTGATACGGAGGCACACACTTCACATTCAGAATAAAATGTGCTAGTTTTGGTATTAACTAGAATCCTGAAAAGGCTCAGTCCCTTAACCAAAAGCTGAACCTTAGTGAAACATGCTTATATGGACCAGCCTAAAAAAAGTCCAAACAATCAGAAAGAAAATGCATTAGCTTCATTTTTATGAACCGGATATGACTTTTTGGTTCTACAACATTCTTCCAATTACTAATGTTAAGAAGTTGGCCGTTAACTTCATACAATTAAGAACAGCTTAACAGTTTTACCGTGATACAACAATTATTACTTTAGTTAGACTAATTGTTATTTCATAAGACACTCTATTCCTTTAAATATAGTTAATATCACTTGTGTTTAGAAAGGTCCCAAAAGTTCAAAGCGTTACGAAGCTTGGCATGTCTCATTAAAATATAGGAATAGAAGCTACATGGATAGACACTGCCTCAGCAATAAGAAGATAGATTTGAAAGAAGAAGAGAGATACTTGTTTTTACAAAGAACAGCTATTCTCAAGTCTCTTAAATTTGTGAAATTGAGGCACAGACACACATATGCTTAAGTATTCCACCAAAATTCACTCATAAGTAACCTACTAAAGAAGCATCCCACTACCGATTACTGTTTGTGACTCATTAACTAGATAAACAATGTACGTGGCTTGGCACTATCCTATTACTAAATACTATAGAGAAAAAGGATCAAACTGAATTCTAGACTTTCCAGCTCCATTCTAGTTCAAATTGAACATCCAAAGTTCATCTAACCAAATCACTAAATCATACAATACATGATGAGCTCCTTTACATTCCTTCCTCTCTTATCACACACACGAAACACACTTACATACACACAATACACGATTAATTCAGATCATGTGCTGCAAAGATCCATTTAATGTCAATTTTCATTTTCTATCAACATGGTCATTATCTACACTTACTGTCCACCAACTGTGAAATCTCAAACTTCTCAGCTAGCACACCAGTGACACTACTGTAAAACGCACCATCATCAGACATAATTCAGAACAAATCTGTTATGGTGCTTTAAAGCTAATTAGAAAAAAGGCACGAATGAAGCATTTACTACAAGTGATTGAACAGATACTACAGACTGTTTGTTTCCAAGACAGATTTAACAAGTTTGCCTCATCCTTGGCATTAATTATTAAGTTGTAATAGCTAGTTATCTTCTTGGGACTAATGTAAGCCGCCCTGTAACACCTTATGCACTGCTGGATATGGTTTACTGTTTTCCATGATTTTTGTTTAACTTTAGATCTGTCATATTGGTCCAGAATCGAAACCACAGTATATCAAGAGTTTAAGGGGACTAATTTTGTTACAATAAGTAATATGCATTTACATAGAAGAATTGCTCTTAGCACACTATAAGTCACAATAAAACTGATGACCTGCCAGAAAGCAGCTCTGCCGAGAAGGACCTGGGAGTCCTGGCAGACAACAAGTTAACCATGAGCCAGCAACGTGCCCTTGTGGCCAAGAAGGCCAACGGGACCCTGGGCTGCATTAGGCAGAGCGTTGCCAGCAGGTCGAGGGAGGTGATCCTCCCCCTCTACTCGGCCCTGGGGAGGCCACATCTGCAATACTGTGTCCAGTTCTGGGCTCCCCACTACAAGAGACACACGGCACTACTGGAGAGCGTTCAGCAGAGGGCTACTAAGATGATGAAGGGACTGGAGCATCTCTCCTATGAAGAAAGGAGTATAAAATATGTTTGGTTGCACTATCTAGAAAAATGAATACCCAAAACATGCTTTGAACCAATTTGATGCTATCTAAAGACTATTTTTAACTTCAATACTGCTAAAGATGCATCAGAAAATATTTAAAAAATGCCCTAGTACAAAAATTGTCTTACCACCAAAGACTATTTTAAATGAAGAAGAGCCTCTAGACCTTTAACAATTTAAAAGCAAATGACAAATCAGTGATATAAATGATATACACAGAGGCATACTGCAATGTTCATCCGTAGGATTTCTAAACACAAAACCCGTTTTGAAAATAAATACGTATATAAACCAAAGAGTGAGAGCTTGTAAAGAGCATCAAATGTCACTTGTACAAAGACAGCACAGAAACTTACAGTAAAGTTCTATGTTTAACTTCGCTTCCTACATCTCATCGCTATAAACTTGTCACGGTAAAGTTATATACTAACTATGATTTTTAACGTAATATTACTTTTTCAAATAACTTTTACAATTAAATGATAACTACCAAGAGTGTTTTTACACCGAAGCTCTACACATGTCCATACGGAAACCCCACAACATCTAAGGCTTTAAGAATATTTCCTAAATACAAGGCATGTGATGACTGGTCACTATTATACTTTACAGTTCATTTTTCATTAACATTCAATGGCAGATATTCTAATGAGAAATTATGAAACAAGTAGAGCTCCTCTTCTGGATGTCACACTTAAGTGTAATAGTTGAAACAACTTCAAATCCAAAATACATATTTTCAGTGTGCAGATACCTCAAACCTAATAGAAAAGTCACAAAAGTTTGTTTATTAAGAAAAAGATCTTATTATTCTAAGTTACTTCGTTAACAGGTTCTGTAGCAATAACTACTACAGAAAGGGAAAATTCTAGCTTTTGTTTTTCAGTCCACTCCAGAGGCTAAGTAAAACATCAACAATTGCTCTATATTGAGATTTGGAGGTTATTCTATTCTGTACAAAACGTATAGTCTAAGGTGACAAGAGCTACACCATATAGTATTAGATTGAGACATTCAAATAAAGCAAAGTTACTCAAAATAGGGATATTACAGTTTAATTTAGCACCAATATCCACACAATAAAGATTATCCTCTAAGTCGCATCCAGTAACATCAGGTGAACATCACACATTAACTTCTGCAAACAGTTCAGAACTTTATCTCGGGGCAAATGACTCTTTACACGCTCCATTCAGCAGTAAGCCATAACGTCTAGTGGTTTAGGAATCTTGGAAGGAACACTATTCTAGGTCAAGCTCTGGGAAAACTAAAGAGCAGAGCGATGTGAAAGGTGCCATATTTGAAGGAGACAAGATGATAATTAATGGAAGTAATTTGCTCCGAATTATTATTAAATACATAAATAAATAAAATGGAAAAAATACCCCTCAGCCATATCTTCACAGCTGGGCACCAACTTTACCTTTTGTTTTGAAATCATAAGAAAAGGCATGCATTTTAACCATAACATTTGAGAGGGAACAGATCTAAGTATCTGGCTAGGTTAGGAACCAGCCTTCCATTCTTGCTTACTTAAAAAAAGTTTTCTGGTTTCAGGAGCAAAAGGTTTAATTTTGGAAGCACAATGAACATGTCAAAACCTAACAGACACTTCCAGTAAAGCTTGACTAACTATCAACACAATTTCTTGTGTAATGTGAAACCATATGGATAATTTTTTAAGGATGCTAATTAGAAAAACAGGGCTAGAAAAAACTACTCCACATTCCCCAACTATAATTCTTGATACAGAAATTTCCCATGACGGAGCTTTCACAATCTGTATTAACTACCTTTACCACTGAGACACTATAAAAAGCTTTCTAGTCTCCCCTTTTATCAATTTAAATCCACTACTTACCGTCCAAACCTCAGGGATTGAAAGTGGAATGGTCTATTCCCCTCTCTCCTGGCATACGAAGCCTCATTTCATCTTCCTTTAGCCTTCCCAATCAGTCACAATTCTAATTCTTCCATCTTTTTCACAGCTCCAGTAATTCTTACTGATCTCCTCTAAGCTTCCTCTAACTGGTACACTTCCTTCTTAAGTATCATTCACAAGGCTGGACACAGTACTCTAGGTGAGGCCTAACTACTGCCATACATAGCCATAACAACAAATTTACTTCCCATCTTACAGATATTATTCCTGTTCATACATCTCAGTACAACTACCTTCTTTGCAACTGTGGAACTTGCCTTCTAGCTGATGATACTTGATCTATCCTGCATAAGACCTGCTTGTCTTTACGGGTTAGATTTTTTTTCTTAGGATATAGAAACTATTTCAAATTAAAGACTATTATAAAGACTATTTCTAATAGTCTTCCCATCAGCTTGTTCTTTATTGGTAAACAACAAAAAAAAGTGTTAAGAGTACCACAGTACTACTACAGTAAACTAATACTGTCACTATATTAAGTAAAAGATTCAGGAAAAAGGCATTAATTAATGTTGAATTACAAGAGGACACTAGGCAGAAGCTTAGGTTTCTCCATATTCTCTTGAAATGTAGATAGGAAGGTAATTCAGATTTCTAACAGGTCTCCTACCGGTTGTAGCAGCTACTACAAGTGTTTTAAATGGTCTGCAAAAGGCTCAAAGGGAACTGGCAACCACCGAGCATTGATGATACTGCCTTGACATCCCAGAATGAATGGGTTTCTGAATTGGAGAGAGAGCCTCAAGAAACCTTGGCTTAAACTGATACTATGAGAACACACAGACAGGCTGAAAGAACAGTCTTTTCCATTCAGCTCTAAGTTTGGTCAAGCTTTAAGATGCGGTGCAAAATACTTTGAAACTTTGTCATACAACTGTTAAATTCTGCTAGCCAGCATCAAGTCTTTTGGACTTGTTAATCAAGGTGTAGGATTCAACACCGATCAAGGAAATATCCAACCAGATTTAATCAGGTGTTGCGCCGATTCATTATGTTAGGGCTATTCTGTGTCTGTTAGCCGATTTCTGCCAGTAGCTATATTCAACATGGCACCAGCAGAACCAAATGTAGACCAGCTAAAAGAATTCAAACCTCTATAAAGGATCAGGTATCTTCTGATCTCCCTAAAGTCAGTGAAAACATATCTTAGTACACACCAAACTGATCCTGCAATTTCTCAGTGCCAGATGCAAACTCATGAGAGATGCAGCATCATCTTTTTCCCATTGAGCTGCATACCCAAGTACTGGTAAGGATCTTCTCACATGATCTTTTATCCTTTTCAAGGTACTAGGGAAGACAATTTCATTCTGTCATCATTACTATGGCATTTCTCCTTGAATTTACCATAAGTCAATAAAACAGTGGACAAATATGCATAACATGGCTTAGATGAAGTGAGTGACATGGGAGCTCTCAGTGAAGCTATGGCTTGACAGAGAGTTAATGAGTGATTCACCTGAGGAGACTTTTCCAAGATCTCCTTAGCCCTGAATAGACTTGTACTCATTTCTTAGACAAGGAAAGCTTCATTCATCATCATACACTTTACACACTGGTATGCCCAGAAAAGGAGTATCCCAGAGTATTTTGTAATGTGTCCTAAAACATATGGAGTATTAGGACCGTCAAGGTCAAAGGCAGTCCAATAAGCAGCATGCCAGACTGATCATTTAATCCGTGCACCAAGTCTGTTCATTTAATTTCTTTCATCTCTGAATAGCAGAAATGTCTTCAGCAAAGAATCTTAGTTAACCTAAAAAACGTAGTATAAAAGAACAAGTTCTACAGCATTAACAATTACTAGTCTTAGTGCAGTGAGATACTTTGCTAAACAAACAAACAAAAAATGCATAAGGAAAATATGAGACCAGAAGTTTTGACACATTGCCAAAAAGCGGTAGGAAAGAACTCAGACAGAGCTGAGCCTGCTTTTCTCAGGAATAAGTGTATAAGGTCATAAGCTGGGCCACAAAGATAAAAGGAAAAGAATATACGATTTTGAGTGCATCAGGTAAACCTACAGCACTTGTAGCAAGAATACGCACAAATGATTTGAATTTCAAATTACTTAAACACTGTTCAGATATTCAGCAGCCTGATTCAGAAAACACTACCCCAAGAATATGTACTCCCTACTGACCACAACAACTGCTCTGTTGTTGGGCTTTGAGATGCTCAGATTTACTGACAGTAAACTTTAAAGGTACTGAAACCCAAATGTATTAGATGTGATTAACAGTATTAACAGCAGAATATAATCTTATAATCAGGGAGTTAGTACAATGAATTCCTTCTCCTTAATGATTAAATAGAGAGTTAACTGCGCTGGACTACATTCTTATTTGGTCTCTCCTCAACTTTGCTGTCACCTTTCTTGGTTTCCCGTCATCTTTCTCCTGCCATTCATCCATCTATCTTTTCACATACTACCCAACTGCTTGCTTCCTTTCTGAACTTTGCTGTTTAGCCACCTGGTTCTTTATTTCTTATCTTAATACTGTCTGGTTACTTTACTCCAGCAACAGCCATAGACTTAGGAAGAAGAGAATTTGCTGTTATAATCACACTCCTACGTATTACCATGAGGTATTTCACTGACCAGACTGAAGGGGGGTTACTGGGGCCAATTTAGCATTATGGAATAGCCAATGATTATTTTGTTAAAGCTATTTTAAGAGGTTTTTTTTTTTTTTTTTTTTTACATTTAATTATTATTTATTCACTGTCCTAAAAGCAGCTACACCTTTTGTGATGGTCATGAAGAAGCTTATATAATGAAAGTGTAGAAATGTGTTAATTATTACCACATACAAAGCGCTAAAGAATATGTTTGATTTCCAAACCCACCTTGAATGCCTGACAGTTCTATAGGCAGTGGGAAGTGAGTGCTTTGCTTTTGAATGTGATCTCGATCTGGACTTAGACGATGAATGATACTTGGAAGGTGATCGAGATCTTGTCCGAGATCGTTTCTTGTGTTTCTTTCTTTTCTTTTCTTTTTCTTCATCCCTAGGAGGATCTTTGCTTTTGCTTGAAGGCCTTTCTGCTTGTTTAACTTCTAAAGTAGGTAAAGTTCTGACTGCAGTGACAGGACATGGTATACTACTGACGCTCTGCAATCAAACGTAAACAAAAAACACAGTATTCAGTTTTCAAAGATACAAACACATTTTTGATCTGAGAAGGTTTTACACGCATAGACAACACATAAGTATTTCTAGCTCTTTATACCAAACAGAGGGCTAAACTTCTACTCCTGTGCACACCACATAAATGCGCTCTTCCCCTGGCAAAGAAACTTAAGATATCTTGCTCAGTAGTCTTTGCAGCTGTACTAAATTTTCTTTTTGTAGGAATGCTGCATGACAAGTGCAACAGCAAGGAAAATAATACTTACACACTCGTCTTACATTTTTGGACTCTCAAAAGCACATGAGAAACATCTATCTTAAGAAAATAGTTGATTAATGAATAACAATCTACTTCCCATAAATGCTTTAAATCCTCACAGTGCTGCATTATTATTATGTAAAGGTTGTGTATATAAGGCTGACATCTTCAAAACATGCATCTAGTAGTATTTAATGGCAGCCTATACAGTCCCCCAGAAGTACATATGCAAGTTGGGATACACATGCTAAGACTGTCAGCTAAGTTTAAGTTTAGTCAGCTTAAGTAGGACACAGTTCTGAAGTTTACCAAAAAAAAAAAAAGAGTAGCACTCAAAAATAAACCTTATCAGATAATGATTCATCTATGTATCCTTTCTATTTAAAAATTGCTAAAGTTGAAAATACAATCAGGAACTATTGACGTAGTTTAAAATCTAAGTTTTAAAGCCACTTTCATCCTTGAACTGTGCTACTTTGATTGCAACGTCACAAAAAACAGCAAAGTGAAATAATGTCGATACAAAATACTTCTATACTTTGTAAAATAAATATTTTGCATTTAAAGGGTTGGAAAGATCACAAAATGTTATTAATCTTAAAGATAAATTTGGTCATTGGTCAATTCATACTCAATTAAGCAAAGCAATACTCCAGTAAATCTTCAAATTATCAGTTTGTACCTGACAGAATTCTGCTGAATGCCTTGTTTAGAACAACTCAAGCCAGACACTACAGATATACTCCTTATTTCAAATTCTGTCACTCCTCAAGCTGCCATTTCAAGGCAATTGGAGAAATCTGTTTCCTTCTGTCATAATTTCTGCTCTGCCTGGTCTGACACTTCCACCGTTTGATACAAGGATGCTTACTGTGATCAGAATAGAAACTAATACATTAAAAGGTGAAATAACCAAATTAGAAATTGGTGATCTTTCTCTCTCTTTCTCCCTCTCCTGCTGTGAGGACATCAAGGCAATAGAGTTGACCACATTTGAATAATTGGACATTGGGCTCTCCTCCCAGTATTAGAGAGCCATGATTCTCTTCTGAGCTTTAACTGATAATAGCTATTATAATATTTACAGAAATGGCAAGGAAGCTGTACTAAAAACTCTTTCGCTTCAAGCATTATAAACATTTCATAGCACGAACACTTGAGTTAAATGTAAATGCCTCTCCTATTTCAAAATAACTGGTTTACCAGAGGCCCCTTTCCAATTCCGCCAACTTCACAATCCACATGTAATTCTAGACAGCTCATCTCCAAACCCCAAGATTTCCCAAGAGACTACCACAGCCTACTTTTGTTCCTTGACGATGTTATTCATCTCTTTATACAGTATCTTAGTTTTCCTTTTGAACATTACTGAATATGCAACAGATCAGTTTGCCTTGAAGTAGACACCTCTCCTAGCTTGAGACAAAACAGCTGTAGGCAAAGTAGAGTTAAGAGGGAAACCAAGAGAGAGAAGTAAGAAACAACAGTTTTTAGTGCCCAAGTTCCTTTAGCTGCATAAAATAGAAGCTATCACACCAAAACACCAAACAGGACAGGAAGTTAATAACAGAACACATTAATTTTAGCACAAATGTTGTGGTGCTTTCAGCAATCAGACTGGAGAGCCCCAGATGCTAAGTGTCCCTATATAGGCAGAAAGCATCACATGCTGGAACTGCGGGCTCTCCACATCTTTCAGAACGCTTACAGTAAGGAGGACAGAGCTGTCCCGATATCTCCCTTAAGGGCAGTTGCAGGCTGTCTGCCTGGTCAGATAGAACTGCTTCAGGTGACTGCTGAATCATGTTTGCAAAGCTACAGCACAAGCCATGCAGAAGTGACTTTTCCCCCTCGGTGAACATGTAGGCCTTGAGGCACAAGGTGACAGCTAACACAAAAAAAGAAATCACCTACTGGACCCAGTCTACACTAGGCACCATTGAGATGGGGAGCTGAGACTATAGCTGTCAGGCCGCAATGGCAACATCAGCTGTGAAGAAAAACACCGATTCCCACAGCGGCAACTCCGTTTGCCTTCATGGAAAAAATCACTAGCAAGAGGGTCCGAAACATCCCCTGCGCAGACTGTAGAGCTAACTGAAAGAACGTAATGCCAAGTTGCAAAGCCACATAGTAAAGTTTCTAGGTGCGTAAGTAAAGCTGCTGAATACAAATCTCTGAAAGAATCCACTGTCTTTGTGTCTGTCGAATAAAAGAAGCTGTCTTCGGCTTGTGTTTTTAATAGGTGAAGTTGATCCAGGCAAACTAAAATAGCGGGAACCAGAAACGAAGGAGAGAACGTAGGAAAAAAAAACATCAAAGAAAGCCCCTACGTTGGGAGACTATTAAGCATCTCCAGAAGGCAGAAACTCTGCTTTACCGACCAGACGCCACAAACGCGCAGCCCGAGGGGGTGAACTCTGTTCCAGAGCATATAGCAACGAGCCGGTTACCTGATACAACAAATACACCTGATACACACAAATTAATGTCTGTGAATTGGTGTTTGTTGCATGGATCAGTACGGCTTTATATCTCAAGTTCTCTGAAGAACAAAAACCAAGGCACAGAGCGTTCTTAGTCTCCCCTCCCACCTCCCGTCACGGTTCCTGGTACTTAACGGTGACTCTCATCCCTTCCCCCCCCCACCAACTTCCCCCCACCTGCGCAATGCCACATTAGAATGCAATTTTTTATTAAAGTGTTTGTCTTTTCTTAAGGGGGGAAAAAAAAAAAAGATAAAGAAACCCCTCTCCACAAAGGGCCTCCTTCCATGCCAAACAGAACAAAGATGTAAAAACTGTATCGTAAAAACAAACAAACAAAAAAAACTTAAGAAATGGATGATTTTGAAAGACTGTTTCCCCTAAACCTTTTCTTTAAATATTTGTCATAAAATATTCATTAGACAATTAAATTTTGCTCATAAATCAATGATTTTTTTAAAAAATAAATTATATGCAAACATAAAATTATATGCAACTTGCACATGTTTATCATTCTATGGATGCATACAGTAATACCTGGGGTCCACTGCTAAAAAAATAGGGTCAACTACAGCAGTAAGATATACATGATCTATACTAGTTGATAACCCTCTTATGCTTGGCAAAGCTTGGATAGCATCTTATTTTTAAACCTGCATTATGAATTTCTATTTTGCTTGTAAATATACTACCCTCTGCAGAAAAAAGAATATTGTTATACACAGAACAAAAGTAAGGAGAAATCATCTAACAAAGAGAACAAAAAATTCCAGATCTTCAGAACTGAAAAGATGAAAGAAGCAAGAGAAGTATTACCTTGTGCTATAGATTCTTTATATTCAAAAGGTACAAAGGCAGATGACATTTGGGACAAGGCATTAAAACAGAATTACTTTCAAATTACATGCTTGTCAATTTTTACAGCACTATGATTGTGAATTCTCTCCTTGTTTAAATTGGATGGTAACAGTTATGCAGTTAGCAGTTCAGGTATAACTAACTGTCTTTTATACGCAGATCAAGGTACCCATCACCCATAAAGCATTTCTGACACAGTACACAATGAGAGATTAGCATAACAGTTTGTATTAGAAACCCAGCAAACACATTATTAGGGAAAGCATGGCTAGCATACAAAAAAAAATTACTGTACTACAAATGCAAAACAGCTGTCACTATGTCAAGTAACTACTTTAAAGAAGTCAAAAACACTGCACTACAGGGAGTATACGAAGCCTTGTCTGGCCAACCACCAGTGCTGACCCCTTCTACTTTTGTCAGGTATTACCTGCACCAGTAGATCCTGGGAGACATCATATCATTTAAATAATTGTAATGGTCACTTAAGACCAGTTTCGTTGAATAGGCCTCCATAGGCCTATTACTAAACCTCTTTGCAGTAAGTAATGATTTAGCAGGTTAGGTTTTTCCTTCTGCAAGCTATCTATAACCTACTACAGTTATCAAATACTGTTAATAAAAACATTAAGCAAACGTTCACAAGCAAGGCATCAAACCATGCCAGCTTTCCTCCCATGAGGCTTGGCTACAAAAAACTGGAGAAGCACTGGTCCACAGATTCTTTTCGTTCTACCTATTGCTCCCAGACACATCTAAAAACAATATCGTTCATGTTGACAGGGCTGGGAAGGATCAGAGCTTTTAGTTGGCATATGAGTAGTCAAACATCATTTTAACCATGCAAAAAGGTGGTCAGCATTGTGTACTGTATGTATCTTACAAGTGTGATACTTGTATTCAGAATTCAAGTCATGTGACTAGTCAGCATTATTTTATTAAATTGAAAAAACTGCAAAAGAAACAAAAGCAACCAACCCTCTCTCCCCATTCCCATCTTAACATGGGCTCTCCCAATGTTTAACCCTACTTAAGGTTTTGGTTCAAAATAAGAGTCATATTTTGGAATAAGCTTTGAATTTCAGAATACAAAACGGTTTAGAAGAAATGCAATTTTTTTGTTTGCTCGTTTAAAAAGCTCTTCAACCCAGCACTCCAAACGATCAGTACTCCAATTCTGCATATCTATATTGCAGTCCTTAAAACTAAAGTTGTTCCCTATCATAAGCCAATGAACCTGTGTTTGTGGAGCATGGATAGATTGCAACTAATAGATGTGTTAGGTGGCTCGCTACAAAAGTGTCTATGTGAATTGTGCATGAAAACCCAAAAAGTGAACTGCTGCAGAGTTACCTTTAACTCAAGACTTCAAAAAAAAA